TGTAATCTTGTGAGTGGAAGTTGTGATTGCCCCAAGAAGGGAGTTTCAACTTTTAAGAACAACAGGGACAAGAGCTGAGGTCTCAGACCCAAGGATCCCATCATAAAGTTCCCCTGGAACGTCTGTACTCTCTGTAAAAGGTTGGACTAGAAAAAATCTGCATCTTTGGCATAAGGAAACTTCTCTCTCTCTAAGTCCTAGGTGGAAGAAAAAAGTTCCTCTGAGAAAGCACAGGAACTCACAAGGGTTTTAGGTTTTAATTTATACTACCTGTGTGACCAGGAAACCTTTACCCTGTGGCTCTTGGCAGAAGCAAAGATAAAACTGCTTTGAAGGGGTGCTCCCACAAGACAGACCACAAGAAGTTTTCACAGAATTTTGTAAAAACCTCATTAAAGAAGATATTGCAGTAAAAATACTACAAGAGTAAATTATCTACCATGAGTGAGAGTCAGTGGACACAGTCACCAGCAAGATTAGAATCCTGAGCATCACTGAGCTTGAGGATAGATTTGAGAAAATTACACAGTGTTAAGAACAAATAGAGATGGAAAATATGACAAGAGAGGCTAAAAGACATGGAGGATAGAATGAAAGATCCAACTTTAAACTAAGAGGCATTCCAGAAGGAAAATAGAGAAAATGGGTGAAAGACAGTATAGTCATCCCTTGGTATCCATGGGGGATTGGTTCTAGGACACCCCCTGAGGATACCTAAATCTTCGGATGCTGAAATCCCTTATGTAAAATGGCATGTTATTTGAATGTAACCTGCACACATCCTCTCATATACTTTAAATCATCTCTAGATTACTTACAATACATAACACAATGTAAATGCTATGTAAACAATTGCTATACCACATTATTTAGGGAATAATGGCACGAAAAAAAAGTCTGTGCATGTTTAGTACAGTTGCCACCATTGTAGGCCTTTCAAACCACAGTTGGTTGAATCCATGGATGTAGAACCTGCAAATAAGAAGGACCAAATGTATTCAAGGAGATAACGGCTGAGGATTTTTCAGGATTGATGAAAGATTTAAGAAGCACAAGTGCCAAGTAAAACAAATAAAATTAAGTCTATATCCAGACATATTATAGTCAAACTGCAGAACACCAAAATCAAAGAGAAAAATCTTTAAAACTATCAGAGAGAATAGACAGATTACCTCCAAAAGAACAACAATGAGAATGAATAGCAGACTTTTAAACTACAAAATATAGTCCAGAACACAGGTAAATAATATCTTCAAAGTTCTGAGAGAAAGTATCTGTCAACGTAGATTTTTAAACCCAGCTAAATTATTATTGAAGACTGACTGCAGTAAAATTATTTCCAGAAATGAACTGAGAAAATCAAGAACTCACAAACCATTGCTGAAAGAAATACTAAAGTATGTACTTCAGAAAGGAAGCACTGATGTGGAAAAAGGAATGGGGAGCAAAGATATTGTTAAATCTGTGGGTTGATCTAAATAAGCATTGGTTGTAAAAACAATAATGATGATAATGAATAATTTAGGGGTATAAAAACAAAGTTGGAGAGGCATAGTTTGGTTAAAACTTTCTAAGTCCTCAAACTGTTTTAAGGGAGGGTAGAACTATTGAGAAACTTTAGACATTTTAAGTGGGGAAAAAAGGAGAAAGAAACTGAATGTATAACTTCCAAACCAGTAGTAGAAAAAAAGAATTTAAAAAATTGACTAATGCAAAAAAAAGGCAAGAAAGGAGGGAAAAAAGCATAGAATAAAGCAGAATAAGAGATAAATTCCATGATAAGGTAATATAAATAAACCTAAATGTATTATTAATCACAATAAATGTGATTAGACTAAAACTTGTGAATTTAAAGAGAGCATTTTGCTTGTATTTAAAAATCCAAAATTTAGGTAAATTCTGTTCATAAAAGTCATACCTAAAATATGAGGTCATGGAAGGTGATGCAAAAAGCTATCCAGGCAAATACTAATCAAAGTTCACGTAGCTATGTTAATGTTAAGCAAAACATACTTTGAAAAGTAACAAATATTATTAGGAATAAGGAATCTTATAGCATATTGATAAAATGAATAATCTACCAGGAAGATAAAACAATTCTAAATCTGTCTGCATCTAAATATAATGCCTCAAAACATATAAAGCAAAACTTGACAGAATTACAAGGAGATAATAACAAATCTATCATCAGTGGTAAATTTTAATACACCTCTCTATGTTGATAGAGAAAGCAGACCAAAAATTAACAAGAATGTGGAATATTTGAACACAATTTTAAAAACCTTGAATTGATATATAGAATTCTGTACCCAATAATTATAGAATACTTACTTTTTAAAAATACACGTAGATCATTTATCACACTCTTTTATCTAGATGCAATAAAATTAGAATTCCCAGAAACAAACAATGAATAAAAAAGAATACACTTGGAAATTTAAATAAAGTAGGTTAGGGACCAGCCCCGTGGCCGAGTAGTTAAAGTTTCGTGCACTCCACTTCAGCAGCCCCAGTTCGTGGGTTCAGATCCCAGGCAGGGACCTACTCCACTCACCAGCCATGGTGTGGATGTGTCCCACATACAAAAAAACAGAGGAAGATTGGCACAGATGTTAGCTCAGGGCTAATCTTCCTCAGGAAAAAAAAAGAAAGTAGGTTATACAACCAGTTCATGCAATATCATCTCATTTGGGGGAAAAATAATATCCATGTTATGCATTGAAGAAAAAAGTTGAAAAGAGACTAAAAGTGGTAAGAGTGATTATTTATGGTTTGGCTTACAGGTGATTTTTAATTTTGCTTTATTTTTAAAGAGCTTTTCTGTATTGTTAAAGTTTCCTGCTTAGAACATGTAAGCATGTGTTTTTTTTCTAACTAGAAAAAAATCAACAATGAATTTTACTTAGGATAACATGTAGAAAAATAACTTGCCTGGGCTATTGCAGTAGCCTCCTAACTGGTCTCCCCATTTCCATTCTTGCCTCCTAATGCATTCTCTTCCCCTAAGCACTTAGAATAAAATCCAAATTCCTAACTTTAGCCTGCAAGGTTCTACATGACATTGCTGCAGACTACATTTCCAACTTTACCTCCAGTCACACTTCCCAGGTTCACTCTACTCCAATCACACTGGCTTTCATTTCCTTGAACTCTCCAAGTTCTTTGCATCCTGAGTCTTCCCATTCGCAAGCCCTTGTACCTAGAAGCCCCACTGCCCTCCTTCCCCCAACACTCTCTTTGCCGGCCTAAGTCCTAGGTATTCCTCATGTTCCGTATGGAGAGTTAAATCCTTAGGGAAGCCTTTGCTGCTCTCTCTCCAGACTAGGTTTGGTTTCTCTGATAGATATTCTCAAAGCACCCATTCTTTTCTGTCATAGCAGTAACAGTAAACTTGAAAATGCATGTTTATGTGTTTACTTGATTACTGTTGTCTCCCTTGCTAAACTGTTTATTTTGTGAGGACAAGAACCACATCTGGTTTGCTATTGCTATATCCCCATCACCTAACTTAGTCCGGGCATGTGGTATGTGCTCAGCGGATATTTGTTGAAAGAATGCATAAATGAGTGAATGAATGAATGATTGAATCCTCACAAACGCTACTGGAGATTACCGAACCAAAACATGAGGTAAAGAAATTCAGGAAGGAAAAGGCAAATGATATGCTGCAATTGCGGCTTTAACTTTCAGTTCTCCTGGTAATGACTGAGATTCATTGAAAAATGCTGACAAGATAAATTTCCTTTTGTATTTTCTTTTTCTACCTTTGCTTTAGTGGGCTATTTCTTCTTGAAGGAAGAAAGTCCTGTGAATTGGTTTAAAAACAAAACAACCACCACCACAAATTTGTTACTTCTGAGGCCAAGGACAGTGAAGTAGGATGATCTGTAGATGGGTATAAATTACCGGACCACATTTCATTGTCTGGAAACTGTTTCATTATATAATTGATACAATACCACACAACCAAAGCCCGATTCAAGCTGGCCTGGATATGCTCTATCTTTTTTCTTCCAGGGACAACTTGTACATATTCAGTCAGCTTGAGTAATAATGGTCTTTGCAATTAGGGCCAGTGCATAGGAAAAAGAGATATATTTTCCACTGATTCACTGTTGCTCTCTAGAGAAGAAAAATATTGGTTACTCCTTAGACTTTCTCCACAGTTTACACTTTAGGGTGCAATCTTAAATTCTTAAAATACAGCCTTTAAAAAATATGCTAAGAGAGCAAAGTCAGACACTCTTTTGATCCTGCAACATCACAGACTTGAACTCACAGACACTAGTTTCCTTTCCGTTAATCTTACCCTCAATTCTTGCCCCCACAGAAGAAAGTCATGGTGGTAATTTCAACGTCAAATTCTCTACAACAGCTTAGTGTTTTAACACAACCATTTTTTGCAAAATCTCAGTCTTTTCCTTCTATTTGATCTAGTCACAAACTAGATGCACAGTAGTTATCTGCATAATTAAGTCTAGAAAATACCTGCTTGAGTATTTAATCCCTTAATAGTTCACATAGACGAAATAAATATCTTCCAGTTGTTCATCTCTTTTCAAAATTTGCTCTTTTCAAAATTTTCAAAATGTAACTCCACAGTTCTACAGTGATGTCTGAGGCAAAGTCACACAAGCTTTAAAATATAATTTATTCATAAATAATTCTGAAATAAACTTATGTAATACAGTACAGAAGAGGTAAGGGGCATTGGCATAATTCATGAAAACAGATATTTCCAATTAAGAATAAACATAGGAAATGAAAGGGAAGAGGATTTGTAAATGTGCCACTCTTTTCTTTATATTCCTTTTAAATGTCAAGGATTTCCATTACTAAATATAAACACAGTACCCCAAAAAGCATTGTTAATAACTGTTATTGCACAAAAGGAAAAATATTTTTAACCTAACTAGATCCAAACATTGAGAGCAGAACTGGGGAAGCCAAATAATACTGTGTACTCAAGACTTTTTCTTATTCAAGTAAAAAACACGTAGTTCATATGGTGCATCAAACTATTTATAATCCTTTATTTGTATATTCCAGAACAATAGTGAGAGCCTAAAGAGAGAACACTCTAATAAATCATTTAATCAAATCAATGAAAAGACAACCAAATAAACTTTTCTGGTGATAATATGACCAATTGCTATGCAGTTGATTGTATCATAGTACAATTAATTGGCTGAAGTTCTTCAGACTACTAAAATAAGTGGACTAACAATTTCATGGTCATATTTTGGTTAATTGACCATGTAGTAATCTAACTGGTTAACCTACAAATTCTATCCAGCTATCACTATAAAAATGGAATAGCTTGTTAATATGAGAAAACAATATTTCCTACCAGAGTAATAGAAATGACTGTAAATGATCAGAATATCACTATAATTGAATTCAAGCCCTTTCCGAATATGTCAGAAAATTAAAGAGAAGATAGAAAACATTAACCAACTTTTTCAAAGTGTGTTATTATTTCTCAGTGCCCTTTTACCACTTATTCATGTATTTTCAGAAGAAATTAACAAAATCTAACTCTCTCTTCATAGGTATGGTGACTTCGAGAGTCTCGGTCTCCTGGACATAGAAAGCTTTGGCACTGTTGCATTCCACAGGATGGGGAAGGGTTATCAAGAGCTTCCTAAAAAACAAAAGAAAAGAAAAACCTAGAATCAGCTTCCTAAAGTGTTATCAAGAAGATATCACTTTTAATAAGGCAATGAAAAGCAGCATAACATTGGAATGTTAGGAACCAAAAAACAATATTTAGACAGTATAAGTACTGGGTCAAAATTACACCTAAATAACACAAATAGTATACTAGTTTTTTGGCCTTAAAAATCCAAGCAGTGGTTTTGATTCCCACCCCCTTTTTTTCTAAATTGACTTCATTTTGCATAATATAAACATAGTCTCAGGCTATGTTTATAGGCATAGAAATAAAACCTCTGCAACTTTCAGTTGGTTCGATAGATGTGTTGCCAGTCATACTTAGGTGCAGATGGAATGTAGCTGACTGATACAAATTTTAAAATTGGAATGGTTCTATAATAATTCTGCTGGCACAACTTCAGGCTGAGTCTCTACAGGTATAGTCATTGAAACTCAGGCTTGGAAGGATTTCAATACCAGATCAATGAAAGCGCTTCTCTCTGCTTGCTTCTGGTTCTTTCTACTACACATTGACAAGAACTCCCTGGGAGAGACTGCAGGGTTATTTTGCAGTTTATGGCTCAGTTGCTGGATAGCTGTATACCTTAAATGCATTGCTGGGATGAGACATCCATAATTCTGTCATAGTGGTATGAATCTGAATTATGCATGGGGTCAGCACATGCTGGTGTCTGAAGAAAATTAAATGCATGAAACACTTGTTACCTCACATTCTCAGCAGAGAAGCTTGAGTATCTCTCTAAAAAGTGGACAGAAAAGCTCTTTTAGAAGGGATAAGATCCAAATCAGCAAAGGAAACTGGTATTTTTTAGGGGTACTTATTGAATACCTGTATAAAGAACTAGTATTTGAAAACAAAACCCTTGAAAATCAATTGCCTGTTTACTCATTTGCAAAGACCTAAGTTCAGGAAACTGGGCTCATTAAAATTATTTATCACACATCTCTGGAACCTAAAGGAGAAATTTTCTGTGACTTTTGTCCCATTCCAGATATTTGGAGTAGGAGAAACAGCTCTCTTCATCTGAAGTAATGTATTTTAATGTAGCCTGTAATATTTGGCATCTCAAAAAAAAATGGGTGCAAAAAATTGATAGAGTCTACCTTTTTAAAGTTGTTTACAACATAGGTTGTGCTAGAGTTCGATTTGCTTTATCCCTTATTCTACAAATGATAATACATTCACTTTAAAAGGAAAGCAAAGTTCAGTGGTGGTAGCTTCATCACACCAAAAGACAAGTATAAATCAGCTGAAGAAGGAGTTCCAATGATAATGTGCACTTCTCTGTCCAGAGGGAAATAAATTCAAAGGAGACAGTTAGTGGCCATTGGAATGATCCATCTATGCCTGCATTTCTGTCCAGTCCTTAGTAGTATGGCTTCACATACTAAAACTCTGAACAATAGCACCTGTGCAACTTATTTCGGCTCTTAGGAGAAGGGAAGTATTTTTGTCTAGTCTGTTTTACTGTCTGCTATCTGAACTGAGATTTATATTTAAACAAAACAAAATTCTACAAATTCCTCTCCATGTACAATTCATTCAAGGACAGGAGTGTATCTTATCTTGGTGTCCCCCTAGTCTCTAGCAGAAGAGTTTATAAATGTTTGTTGAGTGAATAAATAAATGAATGAAAAGCAAATAAGTCTCCACAAAATGGTATTTGAATAACTACTATAGATTAGTACTAAAAATATGAGTAAACATTTAAACCCAAATCCCTCTACCTCTACATTGATAATATATTTGCTTTTTAAGAAGCTACAGTTTAGGCACTGATCAAATGTTTATTCGGTGTTAATTTTTGTTAGAGATTATTTAAATGCAAACAATAATGTATGAAAGGAAAAACAAAAAAATTATACAGTGAACTCTAGAGAGTTACATACTTACATTTACATTTGAGAATTCAAGTTGATGTTGCTTGCAAGAGATTTTTTTAAAAGACAACCTTGTTCTGTGCATATTCACATAATGCAGTTTTTATTTCATGTTATTATTATTAATAAATTATTTTATTTACATATCTGAGTTAAAAACAGATATGGCCTTCTTAAGGTTTCCTATTGGAGACACAGCTATTTTCAAAGAAAGTGCAGAAATAGCCACTGAGCTGCAATTCCCTATTCCATTTAGAAAACTTTTTTTAGGTATCAATGTCTTTGGACATCAGTCAACTCTCAAGCTGAATTAAAGGAGCTCAGCAAAGGTGAGAATCAGCTAAAGCAGAACTCGACCAAAAATTAGCTCATGCTTGTCTTTAGAATGCGTTTTTACTATCACATTCAAGGTATTCATTTATGATATTCTTAGAATTCATTTAGAAAAACAGTAAAACCCCATATGAAAACAAAAGACAAGAGATTGTGGGAAATTATCCAATTTCCCCCATCTTTCCTCCTTTCCATCTATTCCATGTTAGGAATCTACATGCCAAAACAACCAGTTTAAAAAAATGAAGAATTCAGTAAAGTGTGTTATTTCTTTTGGTTGTATAATGTTAAATGTCTTGTTTTCATTGGTAATTATAATGCAATTTGACTGATACTATTAGTCGATTTGATTAAAATGATTTCACTTGTTTTCTGCCATATAGATACATGAACAGAATGTCCTCTCTTATCTTTCTTGGAGTGAGTAAACATAGTGTTACATACATAGTGGTGTTGAAATTAGAAACTAAAGAAAGTTGATGTAAATATCAATAAACTCAAAAAGAAGATACATTTCCAATAATACAATTTCAGATAGTAGCATCTCTCCCAAGAAGGCTCTAGTGTTTAGGAAAGGTGTTAAAACCTTAATTCTATCTTTTGTCTTTTATCTTAATTAATGAATTTTTTCTTAAGAGAGTACATTTCTGCACTGAGCATTTAATATATAAGTGCGGTATGAGCCAAATGACCTAGTGCAGCCTACATTCTATGTGGAAGAGTATCTCTGTGTGAGTCTTTCATTTAGTGGACTCTGATAGGTATCTGGAATGACAGCACAGCCAGAGCAGCTGCCTAAAGATTGATGGAGACAGTGAGAACTGCTAGGGGAAGGGAAATTAATACCATGGTGTGTAGATATGAGTGTGCTTTTAACAAGCACACAAATATCATGGAAGATTGAGTGTTCATTTAACCAACTTTCCTTGCAAAGCTTTTGTGGAAGAGTAAATGTATGTATAATATGCAATGAAAAAATTACAATACTCCTTGAAGTGAATGGTAGAAATAATGGATGTAATTTTTATAACACGAGACAATTTTTTTGTGAGAATACATTTTTGAAATTATATAAGCAATGAGAAAACATTTGATATATATTCATCTGTAGATCATTTGGGGTAAATGCATCCACTGTAGCAATCAAGGTTAAGCTATGTATGAACATTGGGTTGTTTACACATAGAAATCCTTTGTACGAGGGATCTACTTTTTATTTTCTTGAAGCCCTAAGATCAACAAAGGAGAATGATAGGTACTGATACTGGAAGAAAAGAATGTGCCAGCAGCTGACTGCTCCCCACAGCTGGTTTGAAATGTTTATGAGTTACAGAGAAAGAACCACTGCAATCAACCAAAGTGTGCTCACCGCTATACATCCAGATGAAAAGTGGACAAAGCAAGGAGATATTTAGATATTTTATCTAGCACACACCAGGTTCCATCGATTCCCTTTTTATAGAGCTAGTTTTGAGAGACAAGACTGATTTATCCAGGTTTCAGGATCAACATTTTATACCAGAATTTTACTGCCTGTGTTGTGTTTTGGGAACATGATTTGAAGCTGTGTAGTAACAAGACTATTTTGAAAATATCCAAATTTTTAATTGAATTATTCCATTATCATCTGTATGATATTTAAAGGTATTCACACAACTTGAGGATCTAGTGATAATTAGCTGTTAGAATTTTTGTTTTACGTAATTGATGACAAGAATTTTTTGTTGATATTTAGATGAATATAATCAAATTTAACCTTAAAGCCCACAGTATCTAAAAAGTTTAAAGATACTGCTCCTCTGTGCTATCACTGTACAGAAAAACACATGCAATACTTAACACCTGGATTTTTCACCTCTAGCTATTTTTCCTGACAGATAAGCAAACTATATCTGAAGGTCAAGGACTGTGTTTCGGTAGTATCCACCAACTCTAAATGTATGGATGCAAAGTAGAAAAAAATCTAGGTATTTCCAAATATATTTATATTATGTAGATCAAACATCTGAATGGCTAACTGACTTTTTTACTTTTCTTCAGACTTTAGGGGTGATGCAAAATCACGATGTACACTTTGAAAAAGAATATTGACTAAAGATTCATTAGTATTTTAATACATTATTTTAGTTCTAAGTTTTACTCACTTATTAGGAGTACGAAGGTCAAGGATCATTTCCTGGACATCAATTTCAATTTCAGAAGGGTTCGTATTTGGCAGTTTAATTTTAACCTGAAAGAGAAAATGAGAAGAAAAATACCATTGTCTTGAAGAACAGTTAATTTGAAGAGCATAAGAAAATATGGGGAACTGAGAAGTAACATTTATTAAGTGCTAACTATGTGCCAGGTTCTGCTATTTCCTCAGAATGAGCTTGAGACGCAGAGATTATTACCCCTATTTTACAGATGGAGAAACTGAGATACAGAAGTTTAGTGAGTGGCCCAAGGAGAGCCGTCTGTAATTTGTCTAGGGTTTGACTCCAAAGTTATATAGAAAGAGTTTGGTTATTTGCCATTAACCTTCATTGTCTGAAGGTGCATACCAGTGCACCTCCTAGAGTTGGGACCTTCAACTGCCTTAATGGCAGTGGTTACTTTGTATAAAAAATGGCTAGTTCTCATGTTGGGTGTGGGTTGGTGATTTTGTCTTGTAATCTCCTGGTATAAACTCCCATACCACATTTCCTAGAGAAATGTAGGAGTATAGAAAAGTTGTTAATATAACAAAAGAGAAATAACAATATGACCCTTACACACAAAAACAGGGGCTATTTGTTGGTTTCATAAGATTTCACTTAAAAATGTCTCATTTCAATTACTACATGACCTAGCAATTCCACCCCTTGGTACATACCCAAAAGCATTTAAAGCAGGTGTCCAAACAAAAACATGTACATAATGTTTTTGTCCACAGCAGCATTATTCATAATAGCCAAAAGGCACAAATAACCCAAATGTGCATCAAGTGATGAATGGGTAACCAAACTGTGGTATATCCATAGAGTGGACTATTATTCAGCCATAAAAGGGAATGAAGTGCTATTATATGGATGAACCTTGAAAGCATTAAGCTAAGTGAAAGAAGCCAGGCACAAAAAACCACATATTGTAGAATTCTATTTATGTGAAATATCCAGAATAGGCAAATTCATAGAGACTGAAAACAGATTGGTGGTTGCCAGAGGCTGGGGAGGGAGTAAAGAGGAGTGACGATTTAACGAGTACAATTTCCTTTTGAGTTGATGACAATGTTCTGGAATTAGATATTGGTGATGGTTGCACAACATTGTGAATGTACTAAATGTCACTAACAGTAAATTTTATATTCTGTGTATTTTACCACAACACAAAGTCTCAGCCCTCACTCTAACTTAATTATCTTTTTGAGAGAAGTTGATGATCTCTCTATTTATCTATCCATCTATCTATCTGAGAGGACACGGCATATGTTTTCCATAAACAAAGAAAAAACAACCTAAGGTTAAGGTAAATTATGAAACCTTCTCTAAAATGAGCTAGAAGACTTGAAATATTGGACATCTGTTGATTTCAGAGCTGGACTGGCAAGGATAAAAGCAATAGGTTATGAGGGAAATACATATCAAATAAGTAATGTGAAAAAAATGGAATTCCTCGTAAGAAGCCTAAAGTAGGCAATAGTGTTTTTGCAATATAAAGTATGTGGACTAATACATGTCTGTGAGTTATATTTTACTTTATTAATTCTCTCTATAAAAATACTTGTAAATAGAGCCCTAGAGGTCCTACTATCTAAAGATAGCCTATGGTTAATATTTTCATTAAACAAAGAATTATCTCCTAATTGATATTTTGAAAATTCAAATCTTCATAATTAGAGATGCGTTAAGTGAGAGAAATAGAATATTTCTCAAAGAGGTGGTTATAGGTGCTCTACTTCAAAGTCATTGAGCATTCTATCAGACAAAGAAAGACTCATTTTTGCTGTAATAACATTCAGATCTGACAGTCAAGTTTAGATGTCCTTTAGTTGCAGGATGATTCATGTCACCTGGACCAAGGGATATAAATATTTGTTTCTTTAGTCTGAAACATTTACATCTCTCAAGGAAAAAGATTATTTCCCCAGGGTCGAAATGACATTTGAGGAAGGAAAAAAATTATGACTTACGTGAAATTTAGATACAACTTCTGGATAGAACTTCAAAGTGGTTCTTAAAATCATTTGCAACTCCAGTGAAGGGTAATTAAGAAACAACTCACTAAATTTTCCTCTTGAGGAAATTAAAATTGTGTACTAAAATGGTTTCAGAGGAAGGACAGGAAAAGGAATAAATTAAGTGGAATGGTACGCATTAATATCTCATAAGATGGAAGATTCAATGAGGAATCTTAACTGAAAAACTCCTCCTGAAAGATGAATCAGATTTCTTTAGAAATACTTTTAATGAATTCCTGGAAAATAGACATGATTATTTATTGACTTCTAACTGTTTGTACCCAAGACCTAACTTGTCCCACATTAGTAAATACAGTATGTCACTGACAAGCAAGTAAACGGGTTGATGTTCCTCTCTTTACATAGGAGGCAAATAGAATTTATTTCAAAGAATAAATTATTTTAATAGGTAAACTAAGGAAAACTGCTAAAAATTTCATTGGGAAACTTTCAACCTTTTGAGAGCTCAACTTCCGGAGTCAAACTTGGGTTTGAATTCTGATTCTGTCACTATTAGTTCTTTATTGTTTATTAACAAAAACCAACTACACCTCCTCCCAATTTATGGCTCAAAACAACAATAAACAGTATCTCACACATTTTCTGTGGGTTAGGAATTTGGGGGTGGCTTAGCTAAGTAGTTCTGGCTTAGGGTCTATCATGAGGTTGTAGTCAAGTCATTGGCTCTAGCTGCAGACATCTGAAGGCTTTACTGGGGCCAGAGGGTTTGCGTGCAAGATGGCTCACTCACATGGCTGTCAGCAGGAGGCCTCAGTTCTTCATCACATGTACTTCTCCACAGGGTTTAGGGCTGCTTGAGTGTCCTTATGACACAACAGCTGTCTTCTCCCCAGAGTGAATGATCCAAAAGAGCAAGGCAGAACCAATGTGTTTTTTTTTTAACCTAGCCTCAGAAATTATACTTTTTCATTTCTGTAATATCTTATTGGTTATACAGGTCAGCCCTGTTCAATGTGAGAGGGAACTACACAAGGGAAGAATATCTGGAGGTGGGAATCATTGGGGGCCATCTTGTAGGCTGGCTACCACAGTACCCATCACTAACTTCAGTTCAAACCTCTGCCTTCTGGCCTTGTAAATAAAAAGGAAAAGGAAAAAAATTCACTAATTTAAGGTTTGTGAGATCCCTTCTTCCCACTTTCAGCTTGTCTTCAGGCAAGTAGTCAAAACTACTCAGTCTCTGGGAATACATTTTGGGGCTTCCCCGGACAGGTAAAGCTATGTTAAATTGCTTATAAATTGTTCTCATAGTCCTTCGTTTATCCTCTTCTATGTGTTGTAACAGAGCTGGCTTAATACTAAAGCCTTTGGGGGGGGGATCATTAATGCGTGATTATTGTTTTGATTTTTTTTTTAAAGATTGGCACCTGAGCTAACATCTGTTGCAAATCTTTTCTCTTCTTCCTCTTCTTCTCCCCAAAGCCCTCCAGTACATAGTTGTATATTCTAGTTGTGGGTCCTTCTGGTGGTGCTCTGTGGGACGCCGCCTCAGTGTGGCCTGATAAGCGGTACCATGTCCATACCGAGGATCCCAACTTGCGAAACCCTGAACGTCAAAGCAGAGTGCACAAACTTAACCACTCGGCCATGAGGCCAGCCCTTCATTTTGAGTTTTAAGTTTCCTCTTTCTTGTCTTGTTCTTATGATAGATTTATATAACAAGATGGCTCCTGGGGAGATCATATTCCTATAATCTGTAAGTGATTAATACATGTTCCCCAGCTCCTCAGATAAGTATTTATGATCATATTATGTTTGAAAATTAAAATGAGAAGGCCAAATAGCAAGTGTTCCATAGAGGTCATTGGTTCTAGATTTCCTCTTGAATTGTCACTTCCTCACTACCAGAACAGAAGAATAAGTGACACACATCTTATATGTAACTTGGCCAGTCTATGGTATTTATTGAAATTTCAGTCAACCTTAAGATATACAGAAGGGTTTGGGCTGACTCTTTGGAAGATACTCTTATTTAATTTATGGGTTCTAGATACTTAAAAACATTTTTATTTGACAGAGATACAGCAACCACCACCAATATAGTATTTGATTCTTAGCAAAGAAGTTAAGACTATTTGAGTTTCCTTTTGAAACTTAACAACATTAGGATATTTTGACTAACAGAAAAAGTTTGGGTAAGCCTCATTTTGAATTGCTTCAGTGATTTAATTTCCCATTGTTTAACTATGGAAGCACAAGTGAGATATTTTTTCAACTGCAGCTAAGTATTTTATAATTTTATAAGTATTTTATAAAAACTGTCATGAGCAATGTAATCTGTAGGAAAATGAAAAAAATCTAAAGGTGATGGATCCTCACTGTGAAGTTAAATAGAATAAAAACATAGAGTTATGTGTTTTCCAAAACTAGGGCATAAAACCAATACATATCTTTTTAAATTAATGGATAAATTTTCTATAATGTTACCATTTTGAAACATTCCAGTACTATATTGCCATGCCTGTCTTATAAGATGATAGAAGCATGACTCTTCTCTCACAGGAGTTAAGAGTAAGCTCTACGCATTCTGGAGTAAGACCACTCATCTATAGGACCTCTGTACCTCTATTGGCACCCACGCTTACCCCCAAACACTCACAGCCTCACCACCACCAGCTGTCTTGAGACTACCAGAACTAAATTCGTTATACTTTTATCTCTATCCGTCAATAAACACAAGAAGCCTCAGATTCCCAAGTCCTTCCTTATCACCTAATAATTACCATCTGGATCTTCATATCTCCTATTTTGTTTCCATTTCCTACCCCTTATCAACTCATGAAACCCTTCCATTAGGTCCTCTGGAACACATAGTACATTATCCCTTATCTCATAAGCCTCTTTGAATATTCTCTTCCAACTTCTTAGACTAACTGAAATCTGAATCTCCCTTGATGACACTGCTTCCCTTGTAGTCTTCTCAGTTGATGCCTGTTTTTTTCCTCCCATCCTCCTTATATCACTGGGCCTGCTCTTCCCTCCAGTTTTTTGAAATAAATCTCAAGTCTTCA